ACTTACTACTAAATGGTAATTTTCAGTTATTCATTTTTTAATAAAATGATATAAACTATACATAAGAAGTTAATTTAAGAACTGTATAAATCCTACTTTCTATGCATAATTACATATTGATAGCCTTTAGTAGGATTTCCTTAATTTAAAATTGAATTTTGGGGGCATCGTAGTGGTTCAGTCGGTTAAGTGTCTGCCTTCAGCTCAGGTCATGATCCCAGAGTCCTGGGATTGAGCCCTATGTCAGGCTCCCTGCTCAGCGAGGAGCCTACTTCTTCTTCTCCCTCTGCCACTCCCCCTACTTGGGTTCTCTCACTCTCTCTCTGTCAAATAAATGGATAAAAATCTTAAAAAAAAAAAAAGATCTTGAAGAAGAAAGTATTAGAATCATTTATTTAAAAAATAAAATAAATCTTAAAAAAAAAAAACAAACCTGCCATCCTTGGGGCACCTGGCTGCTCACTCAGTGGAGCGTGATCTCAGGGTTCTAAGTGCAAGCCCCACAATGGGTGTAAGAGATTACTTAAAAATAAAAATCTTAAAAAATAATAATAATAATAAAATTGTGATCTTTAAAATCCCCAAGGTAATCCATATCGAGAACCTATCCTAATACTTCTGATGGTGAGTGTGGTATAAATTAGTACACTACTTAACGCCCTATTATCCATTTACTACAAAAAAAAGTCTGATACTAAATATTCGTAATCAATTCTATCCCGTTTTTCAAAACCTTTGACATTTAGAGAAGGAGTTACTACTTTGTTGTGTTGAACACAACACAACTATGTATGTTCCTGATACATCTTCATGATACATAATTGGTAGAGTCAATGGAATTCCCATCCTCAGATTCTAATTAGAAAATAGTTGTTACATCAGAGTGATAGAAGGTTGAGTTTAGTGGGGCACAGATTGAGGTGAATAGCAAAGCCAGCAGAATGGAAAGAAAAAAAGCAAATATAAATCAAGTTCATTTATGAGAATCTCAAAAGAAAAAAGAATTCAAAATGGAAGATAGCTCAGAAATCATCTCATCAGTCCTACCATTTTACAAACAGGAAAACTGAAGTTCAAGTAGGTCAAATGTCAGGCAAGTCTGCAGAAGAACCAAAGTAAAACCTAGACCCCTGACCCTCCCCGCTCCCAAACCTATGGAGAAATAGCTAGAGCACAGGAGGCTGAAGAGTGATAAGGTTCTTACCCAGGAGACAGGAAAAAGATACTGATAAGGAAAGAAACCAAATACCTCAGAATCTAATATCTCCTAGTCCTCAACCACTCTACCAGACAATCTTTACAAAACAATTCTTGATACCTACTACCATTCCAACAACAAACATGTGATCTTGTCTTTGAACCTGACTGAACCTCCATTTCTTTGCTTCTTCAACCCAATCTTCTCTCTAAATTCTTGGAACCTACTATTTTTGCTCAAATCGGAAAAAAAAAAAAATCTAGTCTCAAGATATTGTAAGAACTTCCTGGCTCCCTCTAAAAACATAATATTTTTAATAAAGCGTAAGAATAATAAAAAATATAAGTACCAAACATTTGGAAAAAACAGTATTTTAGAACAAGGGCTTGCAAACTACAGCTTACATGCCAAATCTGGCCTGCAGACTGCTTTTATATCACCTACAAGCTAAAAATAGTTTTTTACATTTTTAAATAGTTGTTTAAAAACATACAGAGAGAAGAATGAGACTGATATCCCATATCTGGCCCACAAAGCCTAAAATATTGACTATCTGGCCCTTCACAGAAAAAACTTGCCAATCCTTGTATTTAGAGTATTTACTGAGTATTTGCCTTATAAACAGAAAATATTTTCTCATACTATAATCTTTCAGTTTAAAAAGTATAACAGTTTTGAGGTTCAAATGACTTTTAAAACAAACGACTCTACCTGTACATTAAACATAATTGAAAAATATTTCAATCCTTAAAGCAAATGATTAAAAAATATGTAATTTTCTTAAAAATTACTGACTTCTTAGATATAGCCTTCATCACCCCATTTCTCCTATTCAACCTCTCACCCAACATACTATTTTGTATAGAATTAACAGGTGTTGGACAGCTGCAGATCCCTCACCCATCCAGGGATTGTTCAACTCCAAATGAAGATGGTTCAAAACAAAAATAAATAAATAAATAAATAATTTTTAAAAAGAAGATTCAACATACTCAGGGCTCTGACTCAGGCCCCTGTTATTTCTGACCTACTAAATCTCTAACCATTCACCTCTCCCATTTTTCACTTATTCCATTAAAATACTTCAAAAGACAGCATTAATTAGACCTATTAATTATACGTAGATTTATGTGCTACTCAAAAATAAAGTGTTCTCATTAACTAATACATATAACTACAACTTAGGGTAGACTTATTCGCTTTCCTCCTCAAGACTGCTACTCTTCTCTACCAAAGTAGTACAGAATTCTAATCAAAAAACAGATAATTATTAGGGAACCTGGCTGGCTCAGTCAGTAGAGCATCTGACTCTTTATCTCGGGGTCATGAGTTCGATCACGCCCCACACTGGGTATGGTGATTACTTAAAAAAAATAGATGATTATCTTTCACTGTCATTTGCTTATTGTCTTCTACCTTCACAATCTTCCTACTTTCTCTTACAAACTAATAACAAGCTGTTCATCCTCTTTAGGAACTCTAATATATTAATTTTTCTTCTGCATTTGCACTTCTTTCTATTTTGGGTCCTTTGCTAAGACTTCAAACATGCAGAAATTTTAAGACTTTCAAGTGTAAATTCAAAATTCTCTATCAGATTAGCAATTTGTCAACATTCCTATAGAAAACCAACTTCATCCATTTCATCATCATTATTTCTTCTAAGGGGTCTCTCCAGATTAAAATTTACCTCTCATTCATTAAAGCTCACCAATTAAAAAAAAAAAAACAAAACTCACCAATTCTTTGCAGGTTTACCTTGTTTTTTACTTTAAGAGACACAGCAATACAACAAGCAGCAAATTATACAAAATCTACAGAAGTTTATATGGGGGGGGCACTTGGGTGGCTCAGTCGGGTCTTGATCAGGGTCATGAGTTCAAAGCCCCACATTGGGCTCCACACTGGGCATGGAGCCTACTTAAAAAAAAAATTTAGGGGCGCCTGGGTGACTCAGGCGGTTAAGCATCTGCCTTCCGCTCAGGTTATAATCTCAGGGTCCTGGGATTGAGTCCCACGTCGGTCTCTGCTCAGTGGGGAGCCTGCTTCTCCCTCTGACCCCCCCCATCTCGTGCTGTCTCTCTCTCAAATAAAATATTTTTTAAAAAAAGTTTATATGGGATATAAAGAAAACCTTACCATGGCAAATTCATATTTAAGATTAAATTTAGTATTAAATAACACAAAATCCCTCTAAATTAGTCTGATGAACTTTCAAATAACAGAAATATAAGTGAGTCCTCCCATATCTGATTTGATTATCTGGACGGTATTTTATTTAATTACATAAGTTAAGGTTCAGACTTTGAAAAATTGTTGGATTAGTCAATTTCAGAAGAGTCCTAAACTCTTACGATAAACAAAAAGAAAATATAATGTACCTTTTTTTATAATGCACATTTTAAAACTTGTTATTCCAGAAGAGTTCAAATCATCTAGGTATAAAAGAGTGTTGAATACTACATCAAGGGACGCCTGGGTGGCTCAGTCAGTTAAGCGTCTGCCTTCGGCTCAGGTCACGATCCCAGGGTCCTGGGATGGTGTTCCACATCAGGAGCCTACTTCTCCCTCTGCCTGCCACTCTCCCAGCTGTGCTCTCTGACAAATAAATAAATAAATAATATTTTTTTAAAAAATGACTACTACATTAAGTTACTCAAATAACGAGAGTACTAAACTAGAAAAGCTCCAAAGATCTCAACAAAGAGAAGCAGGCACATCAAAACCTTTATCTTTTTAATGTTTTTTAAAATTCATTTTGCAATTACAACCTTGCTTTTCACTGAAGTATTTATTTATTCAATTTTTTTAAGGTTTTTATTTATTTATTTCTCAGAGAGAGAAAGAGCACAAGCAGGGACAGCGGCAGGCAGAGCAGGCAGAGGGAGAAGCAGACTCCTCGCTGAGCAGGGAGCCCAACATGGGACTCGATCCCAGGACCCTGGGATCATGACCTGAGCTGAGGGCGGATGCTTAACTGACTGACCCACCCAGGCACCCCTTCACCGAAGTATTTAAATGGCTCCAAAATACAGAAATGGTTATGAGAGCAATGACATATACATGCAACATTATGCAGCCACTGAAAATGTTTACGAAGAGCTTTTAACATCATGGGAAGATGTCTGTTATCATAGTAAGTTAAAAGAATAAAATCCAAAATTCTATACATAATATAATCACAGCTACATTTTAAAAACTATTTACAAGAAAAAAGTATTGAAACAAAGTAAAGCAAAGTAGTAAAGGTAAAAAGTTTGAACAGTAGAAAAAGGGTTTTTTTTCCATTTTATTCTTTTTCTATGTATTATGAGAATGGCTTTTAAAATGGAAAAAGTGTAACATTAATTTTTTTAAGTTTTATATAAAGATAATTCTGTAAGTTCACTTAGATTAATATTTTCATTATTGAGGTATGTACCATCCTGGTAAACAAAAATCCTACCAAGAAAAAAAAAAATTTAAAGAAGTGATCAGGCTATCACATTAATATTTTTTTAAAAAGATAAAGAAACATGAAACTTGGTAAAAGTTGGAAGAAACCAGACAAATTTTTACCTCAAGGCTGATTATTTTAATATGACTACTGAATTTTAATAGAAACCATTAAAATCTCCTTCCCTGTAAAAATCACAGATAATCACTCCACAGAAAGAATCAAAAACAAGCTGATACTGAATTTGTTTTTTCCAAATCATACATGTGAGTTAAATCACATAGTAAAGGCTGCCAGCATTATACAGATAGCTTGTGTTTAAAAAGTGTTCCTCATAGGCAAAACAGAGAAACAGTGTAGTCTCACTTGTGAAATATGATTGATTGAAGATTCCATCCTTCGTAGCTGGGATGCCTGAATATCCAGCATCTGTAGAACATTGTTGGCCAAGGTATTTATCAGATAGGCAACACTTGCTAAGGACTGGGTGGTGTAGGCTTTGGTTTCTTCTAGAGCTCGCTGCTTATCTGCTGACTAAGGGGAAAAAAAAAAAAAAACAATCATTAATTTAAAGATAACCCAGTCTATCAATCTACTCTACAAAAATACTCATCAAAACCATTGTTTCTGAATCTACACACCCTAGTTGAAAAGGTTCTGAATGTTAATTATCAATATCATGTAAACCTAACAACTACTGATTGAGTTGACTAATACTTTAATGTTGAATAGGTACCTCTTCATATAAATGCAAAGAAAATCCTATAGCCATTATTTAAAAAATTAGTTCCATTGGATATTTTGAACAATGGCAGCAAATATATAGCTTATCAAGATTACTGTTTGGAAAGGTAGCACTGATTTGAATGTATAAATTCTGGCATCCATTTTTCTACTTTCCTGAATTTGTCCTTTCCTTCCACTCTAAGTGTGAAATGTGTCTATAGTGTAATATCTCATTAAAGTAATAATGATAAAACAATTATGATAATGATAAGTAAAACTGACAAAGTAAATAAAAATGGGTAATAATCATGATAAATAATGAGAAATTAAAATAAAAATAATTAAAGGGGCGTGTGAGTAGCTCGGTTGGTTGGGTGTCCTCCTCCTGATTTTGGCTTGGATCATGGTCTCAGGGTCGTGGGGTCAAGCCCCACATTGGGCTCCACGCTCAGTGCACAGTCTGCTTGAGATCCTCTCCCTCTCTTCCCCACCCTCTCCCCCCACCAATAAATAAAATAAATCTTTTAAAAAAATAAAATAATAAAAGATACCTTTCTTCTCAAGCATTTTAAGTGTTACAACTCTATGAGACATAAATTGTTAAGTATCAAAACAGAGTACACAGTAAAAAGTGGTTAATTCATTATTTCCAAGGTCCCAAGGCAAAACAATGGTAAAGATACATATTCTATGCTGCTAAACCCTAGACACCATCTTCTTGTCCTAGTTCTAAAGACTGTGGTTCAGCAGAAAGTACACAACCTCTGAACCAGAAACCTTTTATCTTCATGTAAGCTCTACTATTTGCTACAACATATCAATTTGGACAAAAGTAACAGTTTCTCAGTTTCCTCAGTTACAAAGCAGAGGAAATAAACCTCTATATCAACCATTCTAAGCAGTGTGAACACCAAATAAGATAATGAATGTAAAACCACTTTCTAAAACTACAAATTCTTCTATGTAACAACTGTCATTATCTCTCTGAGTGGTCATTAACTGTTCAAAAGTCCACTATGTTCCACTCTCTTCTCCTATACAGTATAAGAGTCAAAATTAACAACCTAGATATGTTTTTCCAGGGAGAACAAAATTATTTTTCTATTTTAATCCTTAGTAATTTCACTCTCTTCAATACTTGAATTAACAACAGAGTTGAAACCGAATTTGGCTGAAGATAAATACTTTTTAAAAAACACTATAAAGGGGGCGCCTGGATGGCTCAGTCGTTAAGCGTCTGCCTTCGGCTCAGGTCATGATCCCAGGTCCTGGGATCGAACCTCACATCGGGCTCCCTGCTCCTAGGGAAGCCTGCTCCTCCCTCTCACACTCCCCCTGCTTGTGTTCCCTCTCTCGCTGTCTCTCTGTCAAATAAATAAATAAAAATCTTAAAAAAAAAAAAAAAAGCACTATAAAGGCTTGTAGATTCTGATTGTGCATGAATAAGGAGCTTGGAAGTCACCACTGCATCCTAACAAGTAAAAAGCTCAGCACAATGAAAAAAAAAATCAACAACTTTTCTTGAATTCATAGTAAAAGCAGCAAGTCATTAACACTTTTCAGACATTACTCTAATCAGAGTATTTACTACTGAGAATAATTCAAAATTAAAACACTTAATTTGATAATATACCTTCTTCAAAGGATCAAGAGGATAAATATTTGGAAAGATGTAATTATTTTCAATGCATCTTTTTTTATATTGATAGTATTTGAGATTTTTTTTGAAAAACAAGTATCACTTCATGCTCTGCCTTTGTTCCTAGTCTATATATGAAATCATGTAGCTGACTGATGCTGTATCAAAGATATGAAAGTCCCTTTTATATTAAATAGGCTTTGCGTATATCTACTTTTCTATGGAAGATTGAGGACCCCATAATGTAAAATGTATGAAGAAAACCTAAATAGAGATGCTGTTTGTGGTTGATATAACATTGATGTAAATCAACATAAAGTATGTATTCAGGGCATCATTCTTCTTCTGCAACATAAAGTATGTATTCAGGGCATCATTGAAATAAGACAAAGGAACACTCTGAATCTTATAAACATATTGCTGTACCAGTCGCTCTTTAGGAAAAAAAGGTGGCAATCCATTAAAATCCTGATGTATCTTCCTAATGGCAATTATGTCATAAAGTCATGAATATCAGCTGATGAGATTGAAACAAAAAAAATCTTCACAGATATCAAAGTATAGCTAACTCTTTCCTAAAAGGGCATACATTTATTGTACATCCATATTTACTAAATAGTTGGCCTCAGTCTTGAAAACCAAAGAAAGCACAACTCTTAGATCATTATATGAGAAGAACAAGAATGCTTCTTGATTGCTTGTAATGTTTTTTTTGACCAGGGAGCACATAGTGGATTTTGAAGTACTTTATTTGAACTATGTGTGAATTGAATATATCTTATTTAATAAAACTATATGGTTTCTAATATATTAAAAGAAAAAAATTATTCCTGGAACCCTTTGAGAGGAGAGGACACAGATGACATGACTACCTATACAGAAATCCAAAAGAACTGACGAAAGAACTCTTGGAGCTAATAAGAGATTACAGCAAGGTGGCAGGAAACAAGTTAATATACAAAAGTCATTGCTTTCCAGGAGTGAGCAAGTGGAATCTGACATTAAAAACACAATACCATTTACATTAATAACCAAAAATACAAAACACTTAAGTATATATCGAATAAAACATGTGCAAGATTGGGGCGCCTGGGTGGATCAGTTGGTTAAGGGTTTGCCTTTGGCTCACGTCATGGTCCCAGGGTCCTGGGATCGAGTCCCACATTGGGCTTGCTGCTCAGCAGGGAGTCTGCTCCTGCCTCTTTCTCTCCCTTCCCCCTCATGCTCTTGCGCACACTCTCTCTCTCAATAAATAAAATCTTAAAAAATTTCTTAAATATGTGCAAGATCTATATGAGGAACATGGCAAAACTCTGATGAACAAAATCAAACAACTAAATAAATGGAAAAACAGTCCATGTATGGATTGGAAGATTCAATACTGTCAAGCTGTCCATTCTTCTCAAACTGAAATATAGAGTCAATGCAATCCCAACCAAAATACCAGCAAATTATTGTGTGTATATCAACAAACTGATTCTAAAATGTACAAGGGGAGGCAAAAGACATAGAATAGGCAATACAATATTGAAGGAGAACAACAAAGTTGGAAGACTAACACTACTCAACTTCAAGATTTACTCTACAGCTATAGTAATCAAGACAGTGTGGTACTGGTGAAAGAAGGGACAAAAAAGTTTCATGGAACAGAACAGAGAGCCTAGAAATAGACCCACATAAATACAGTCAATTGATCTTTAACAAAAGAACAAAGACAATACAACAGAGCAAAGATAGTCTTTTCAACAAACTGTGCTGGAAAAACTGGACATCTAAATGAAAAAAAAAAAGAATCTAGAATCTTCTCAAAAAACTAACTCAAAATGGATTACAGACATAAAAGTAAACTGTAAAATTATGAAACTCCTAGAACACAGGAGAAACTCCTAGAACATAACACCCATATCTGGGTGACCTTGGGTATGGCAATAACTTTTTAGATACAAAATCAAAGGCATGAAAGAATTAATTGATAAGCTAAGCTTCATTAAAATTAAAAACTTCTACTCTTCAGAAGACAATGTCAAGAGAAATAAGACAACAAGCCATAGACTGGAAGAAAATATCTACAAAAGACATCTGATAAAGGACTGTTATCCAAAATATACAAACAACTCTTAAAAATCAACAATAGGAAAAAATTCCATCAAAATATGGGCCAAAGACATTCACGGACACCTCACCATAGAAGATATACAGATGGCAAATAAGCACATGAAAAGATGCTCCACATCATATGCCATCAGGGAATGCAAAATGGTACAGCCACTTTGGATGACAGGTTGGCGGTTTCCTACAAAACTAAACATACTCTTACCAGATGAACCAGTAATTCAGCTCCTTGGTATCTACCCAAAGGAGATGGAAACTCATGGGTACACCAAAACCTATACACAAATGTTTACGGTAGCTCTATACATAAGTGCTGAAAGTTGGAAACAATCCAAGTCTGTCCTTCAATAGGTAAATGAATAAAAACTGTGGTACATCATACAATGGCATAAAGAAATGAGTTATCAAGCCATGAAAAGACATGGAGGAACCTTACATGCATATTACTAAATGAAAAAAGATGAATCTGAAAAGGCTACATACTGTATGATGCCAACAATATGACATTCTAGAACAGGCAAGACTATGAAGACAGTAAAAGATCAGTGGTTGCCAGGGGCTGGTCAGGGGAGGGATGAATAGGTGGAACACAGGGAATTTTTAGAGCAGTGAAAATACTCTGTATGATACCATAATGGATATGTGTCATTATACATTTGTCAAAACCCACAAAATGTAAAACAACAAGAGTGAACCCTAAAGTAAACTATGGACTTTGGGTGATAATGACATGTCAACATAGGTTCATCAATTGTAACAAATGTACCAATCAGGTGGGGGGGTGTTGAAATCTCTGTACCTTCCTCTCAATTTTGCCGTGGATCTAAAACTGCTCTAAAAAAATAAAGTCTTAAAAACAAACATACAAACATACATTCCAGGATTCTGTTATCAGCTACTTTCAAGACAGGCATATCTATGTCAAATTTCACAAATGTTGATGCAAACAAAAGATGTATAAATTGAAACAGACTCTTAACTATAGAGAACAAACCTGATGCTTACCTCAGGGAGACAGGTTGGGGGGATGGGTAAAATAGGTGAAGGGGATTAAGAG